AGATTGTCCCACGAAGCATTGGATCCGTCTGGGCTACCCCGGCATGTGCTCCTTTCACCAAGGTCTCTGCAGTGGCCGACTCGTTGCCCGGAAACCACTGGGCAGCGCAGCGGACTCAGCGATGGACCTCTGACCTCGGGAGACCTCTGGAGCTTGGTCTGACCGCCTCGAGAGGCGGGGTGGGAGGCAAGGTCTTCCGGTCTTAGGTCGCTACTTTTGGGACTACAGGTCCTCCGCTACGTCGCTGGTGAAAGTGTTGAAAGTGGTTATCATCTGGAACTTGCTGATGGGTGCCACGGCTGGTGCCAAGAACCTTGGTGCCCATCCATGGAACAATGCCACCCCGTAACAGAGCTGGACTGTTTGGACCATATCCTTCCCCCTGTGGAAAAAATGTCGTTGAGGAGCAACTACCGACATGATCTAGTCACGAAATGAAGGCCATCATAGTATCAAATAGGTCCACCATGGCCCACTGTTATAATCGCACTTCTACAATGGCAGCAGTCATCTCTCCCTCTCTATTTGGCTTGCAGGGCCTTGCCGCTCAAGACTTCGTCGTCAGGCTTCTCCGGCCGAATGCTTCTTCAGCTCACAAACACGCCACCAAAGCCCCCAGAAGCGGAGGAAACTCCTGGCCTCTTTTGGCTGCAGCCGCCGCATTCGCCAGATTTCCTGAAGAAGCAAGAAGCCCGATCGAAGCCCAGTCGAAGCCTGTTATTCGCACCAAAAACCGCTTGTTCATTAATGAATGCTCAATCCCGCCGAATTGGTCCAGTGGGCTGTGAGCCATCCCCTTTGTCAAGACATGGCTTCATCTTCACTTCAATCTCATACACATTTCTCAGAAAGAATCTCGCTTTTTGCAGGGATGTGAAATGATGTGAACCCCCCAAGAAACCTCCCATGACCCCTGAGTCAAAAGCCTCTTTAGTTACTTCCACCACTTCCGCCCCTATGTCCCGCATTTCGCAGCCTCAGGCCGGCCAAAGGCCGCAGGCCGGGCTCGCGAAATGCGCCGGGCCTTCAGGGTCGAATCCGTGTCGCTGAGCTCGACGTTGACCTGAATAGGATCGCCGGGTCGCTGCCCTTGGCGCCCTTTTGGTGGCAATGAAGGAACCATCGGAGCCTTCCGAACGTCGCGTTCTGGTCACATGTTCGGCGTTCTGACCTTTTGAGGGGTTGAAGGGAAGACAAAGGTGAGGCAATCAGCGAGTTCTGCAGGGAAGAGATGATGACTGCACTGCAACTCACGAGCGTCGCAAGGCACTTTTCCAAAAGAGCTGTGGATGCTTGGGAAATCCCCCGCCAAAGACCATCAAAGGAAAAGAGGATAGTGAGTCTCGTATACACCTCAGTGTCATTTCCACGGGCAGAGAAGATGCCATGCATTCCAATAAACAGTGAGATTTGGGTGGCCCATGACACATCCTTTCAAAAGTCGCGTTGGTCCCAAAAAAAACAAACCGTACACTTCAGGATGCTCAACTTGTTAGGACCAGGAGCTTGCACATGTTCTGAGAACACCAGTTGCACCGACCTGAACTCGACAGTGACACTTCGAGTCTTTCTTCCCAATTTCTCATCCCAAACGTCGTGTTCGCCGTCTCTCCCATTGGCCGTCCAAAGCACCGGCCGCTCCAGCCGCGGTGTTCGCGGGCTGCGGAGCTCTGCCTTTCGCAGGAGACCAGTGGCATCCCTGGCGGTGTTTGGGGCATCATCGGCGACCGGTGCTGCAAGCAGTTGGATCACGACATGTCACAACGACGTACGACAACGACAACGACGACGACTACGAGCACTTGGTGTCACGAGCCCCGGAGGAGAGATGAAAAAGAGTTTCTTGACTTGAGGGCGTCCTGGGCTTAGTGGATTCAACAAGAACCCTGCGGCCCTGCGGCATAGAACTGCTGGACACGTCGCGTTGCGTTGCTGTGCTTTGGTCGAAACCCGGCTCTCTGGCAAGAAAGGCAACAAACAGCAGTTACGCATGAGACTTTCTGTCGTTCGTTCCAATAAACTTACAAATCTTACAAACACAAGTGGATGATGATTGCCTATCGGGGAAGGACCAGGTATATATACTTCTTGGGTGCATTTCGTGGTACTACATTGTTCGGATCGGTACAAGGCTCAAGGAATCTATGTGTGTTCTTCAACAAAAAACATCTATCACGTTCTTTCTTATATGTGCAGAGCACACCGGAACCCTATGGCCTTTTTGGAGGCCATACTTTTAGGACACCTGTCGTCCTAGACCGACGACCATCCTCCACCGTCGCTGCCTAGGGTTCATCCGCGGAGGTGGAGCTCGGTCCATCTCGCCTGGCCCGCGGTCCAGGCGGATGCGCGTCGGATGCGCGTCGCCGATGCTTTTGTTGAGGTGAACCATGGACGTCAGACGTGGTCCATCTGCATGCCAGAGTGGAGAAGCGACTGGAGCGACTGAAGCGAAGAGCATCCAGGCTTTCAAGATTTGGAGCGACTGGTCTGCCTGGTGAACGTTCATCTTCACACTCATTCAGCCATTCCTACACACTTTGGGGAAGTCACCATACTCATGTTCAATGTCTTCTAGTCCCTTTCTTCATGTGGCCACTCCATGTTCCGCTATAACTTGCCAGCACTCTGGCCAGGCTCTTCATGAAAGGCTCAAATGGGAAACACTTGAACACTGCTGCAAGAAGCCCAGCGACTCAACCGAAAGTGAGGGACTCCCTGTCTTTCTCCACCAAAAAAGTCGCCGTCGAGTGTTGAAAAGAGCTGTTCAAAAGAAGTGAACAGGTCACCTACTGAAAAGAGAGAGAGAGAGAGATTTAAAAAAACACGGACCTCTTAGTTTCCTCTTGATCTGAACCTGCTTTGCCACATTTGGCTACCCATGAATCGAACCACTCCGATGAATCAAAAAGACATCATCGCCTTCGGCGAGACAGCTCACGGGCCAATGGCGGTGTGCGGGAACGGGGCACTGTTCCTCTTGGGCCAGTCGCACGACCGATGTCCGGGAAGCTCCATTTGTTGTTTGAAGCATCAAGGGTCATGAACTTTGGGGCGATGTGCGATGCGCGAAGTAAGCCTTGTTTTAGAAGAATCTTCCAAGAATCTCCGAAAGTAACCTGCGCAGTAGGGCAATCTCATGAATCGTGTCACAGAAGGTTCTTCGAAGTCTGGACCAGCAGATTTTGCTTTTATTTTCTCGAGTCTCACCTACGATCCTCAGAGGGTGTCAGACCTCAATGCTCTCATGCCACAAATGTTCCTCACAGCTCCAATGCCCGCGCCCAAAAGAGGGTGCCACGGTGGAAAAATGTATGGTTTTTCTTGAGCCTTGAAGGCCTTGAGGCATGCATCCTCGAGGTCGTGGACCGGCAAACGTTGTGCCGGTGGTCAAAGAGCCACCCCACGAAGAGATCTTAGCGATCTTCTCTGGCTGGAAATGTCTACCAGCTGAAATTGGTTCTACTGCAGGCTGCAATGCGGAGTCACAAATGTGCTTTCAACAGGCGCATGAGATTGCAATAGGGAACCCCCTTTAGAGCATCGATTGACATGTGTTTCTATTTTGCAGCCCCATGATCCTGGATGTGTCCCGTTGAAGGAAGTTCACAAGTCTGGTGCGGACTACAAATAGAAATCGAGATGGACGATTCACATCCAAGGTCCCCATCCACCTGCATTAACATTTTGATGAAATTCGGAGGGGTAACATGCTAGTTACCTGATTTCGTCTTCATTGTTCCCCTCTCCCATCACACATATGACAGCTGCAAGGCGTTTCAAAACAACGAGACAGCGCGGTGCCTTCTGTGACCGAGTGAAATGTGTGACAATAAAACATGATAAAACCATGAGCTTCAAAGGGTCAACGTCTTTAGAACTTTAGAGGTTGGAAGTGATATACCACATACAGCTCTTTTTTGGGGGTAGCTGATCCCTGATCGGTCTGGTTGTTGCCATCCAACATCACTGCCTGCACTTGATCGAGTTAATTGGCGAGCACTTGACCGTCCAAGCTGTGAAAGACTTTGTGCTTTGCCATTCCGCAGGTTTCCCAACGCCTTCACTGCCTATACCGAAAGAAACACATGCTTTAGCGCTGTTGGCTTCTCGTTTGCAAGAACAGCAGAGTTTGCAGATACTGGGTGGAAGGCGTGAAAAGAGGCTTAGTCTCCTTTCATCATATCTGTTTGTTGGACCTCTTCAGACCACCGGATGATCAACATGATCAACACTTGTGCAGGCACACTTGGCTCAGCCAGGTCGTCACAAGAAGAAAAGCTACTCGGCTTTGGGGACCCCCATGGACCTATAATCCCGAGTGCCTATTGAAAAAACCTCCCCAGCTTTAAAAGCACAACGTCCGAAGCCCAATATACGGCTTATATTTGCTTTTAAATTGCCGCCCGTTCAAGCCGCTACTAAACTACCAACATGGTCGATTTGGGGGGTAGTTTCTCTTATTAGGTTCCAAAAACAACCGTAACTGCCCTGTGTATCCACCATGACACGCCGCATTTACACCAGCAGGATTTCCTTCCTCCAGTGGCACGGACTCACACAAACGCACTTGCCACCGAGGTCGCGCAAAACCGCATGTCACAGCGACATCACCTTGGTTGTTAGTCCAATGAAGAATCAGAATTCTAATAAAGGTTATTGTAGGGGAAAAGCAAGACCCTTCGATCCGGAGATGTTTTGAATTTTTGATACGAGTTTAATACGGCTTTTATATAAAACTTGTCTGGATGCCTTTTTGGTTTTGAAGCTCTTCCCAGGTGACCCTATTTTGGACCCCCCCGATTTCCAGGGACCCCCTATTTAAAAAAATGCGACCGAGTTTCTCTTATTGGGGGGAAGGGGGGGGGGTTTTAATAGGTAGACAGGATTACTGCTTGAACCACGAATCACCATCTGTAAGAAACCATTCAAGGCTACACTCCCTGCCCCAAAGAATGCTGGATCACACAAACATGGTAGAGGGATGATTTTCACAAATGGTTGCAGCAAACGGTTCTGCTCCAAGTCTGAGGCATCCAACATCATCCAACACGGCCATGTCAAATGCCCGACCGATCAATGAATTCTCCACGCTCGATGTACTTCATGAGATCTTCGCGGACGGCCCCAGAACGGTCCTGCCGTTCGAAGGATCGATGCGCCACCAGGATCCTTTGACTTGGATAGAATTGATTGATATCCCCTAGGCCCATCGATCGACCCATCGATCGGCCGCTGGGAAATCAAGAACCGGAGAACACCGGAGAGCCCTCCAATGGCTCCGTCCTCGGGAAAGAGTCGTCGGTAGCAGCCAATGGCCAGTGCTGCACAGGACCTGACACGACGGACCGGAGACGGACCGAGACGACGGAGCGGAGACGGCGAGACGACGCCTTGAGGCGGTGTGGATCTTTGTTGGTTCTTTGGTGGGGTGATGGTTTTGATGCATTCGAGCCCTTCATTGATATCCCTTGCTGGCTAGATGGTTTGGTCCCGCTACACAACCAAAAGGAACCACATCACCTCAGACTCTCCCTCATTCGTCGGCCGAAAGGGACCCCTTAAAGGATCTGAAATACAGGAATGAAGGGATGAAAGGATGCGTCCTCTCCTTTGTTCAGGAGGAGCCTTTGTTGGTCGAACGTAGGTTCGGGACGGCGTGAAAAACCAGATTGGCGCCAGGTGTTCTTGCTTTGTGGGCCCTGCGGGCTTCGGCCTGAGGTAAACCCGAGGCTAAGCGACTCGGAGAAGCTGGAGTTCCTTTGATTTCCAACAATTCTTGGAATTGATCTCTTTTGATTTACCTTATCTCTGTGGATCTGTGGACAGCTTCTTGTGTCAGCTTATCTCCGTATGGATCATCTTCTGGGGCCAAAAAGCTTGGAGCAAAGATGTTTCGATTCACGTGGATCCAAGATGATCCAAGGAGTTTCACTCTTTGGGCAAGTGGCATGAAGAAGATCACAATGCAAAGGCCTGACGGGCACACAAAAACCCAATTCGACCCCTTTAGAACAAACGAGGCGAATCAACTTGGAAGATCTCAAGATCATTCAAGATCATCAAGAAGGCACTGGTTTTCGCTGATGTTCACTGGAAAAGATCCAAAACCGATTTTCCTCACCAGGGGGGTGTTTTCCCAACTTCCTGTGGTCTCGTGTGAGTGAGAGTTCTGATCTTCAGCAAAACACAAGACCTCGAGTCGACGTCGACTCAACCGTCGCCTAAGACCTCAAAATCGTCATTCAAGAGCTGGACATAGGCCCAAAGCCCACCATGCAAATCTGCGGCGAGGCGAGGCTGAAGAAGTCTGGAAGAGTAATCGCGACGAATGCGTTTTTCCAGTGGCAAAAGATGGCAAAAGAGGCACCACGACAGCACCACTGGGGGTGTCATCAAGTTCTTGAGACTGCAATGGAGTCAAAAGGTGACATGTTGAGATAGCGAGCAAAGCAATAAATTAAGCTTGACTTGCACAAATAATACGGCAACAACACAACAACCTGAGCATGTCCCTTTGGGGCAGTCACTGATCTACTACTTTGGGGCAGTCGATCTGATCTACTACCAGTTGGCAGGTGCGTGGGTTGCAGCATGCCCACAAGGGTCAACGAGTTTTTCTTAGGACGAAAGATTCGGGTTTGCCGGCTTGATGCCATTGACTGGAGAAGACTTGCAAGCCAGAAAGCCACGCAGTCCTAGCCATGCCGAGCACCGCAAAGGACTGCACAACTGAAGGACGCGTCTCTCCCTTGGTCCCCTGATGTCCCATGTCACCATGCATGGGATTTCTGCGAGAAAACCGGGACGTCTACCACCGCCCCCGCTCCGGGCCGTTCCACGGCTTTTGGATGCCCTTGGTGTGAAAGCTTTCGCATACAAACACCATCAAAAATCATCAAACCCAGACCTTGCTTACTCTGTGTTCCCTCCAAAAGAAACATCTCTGATGCCCAGATGGGCCATCAAATCTGGCAGCCCCCTGCATGCAGGTTCACCGATTCTACCTCCACCCCCACCCATCACACCTTCAGCGGTGGCGACCACGCTCAAGAGCTCCAAAGCCCCGATGAAGAGGGCAATCCTTGGTGTTTCCCATGCTGAAAACGCCCGCGGGCGCGCGCCCGGAACGACCGTCCGTCTCCCCGTCCAATAAACCGCGGGAGAAGGCGAGCGGTAGTAACGGACGTGCCCGCGCAGGCGGTCCATTTGGATGTGCCCGGAAGTGCATTTCCCAAGGGTTTCTTGTTGAGGGGCCAAAGGGCTGGAAGAATTGGGGAAGTTGATGATGGTGCAGAGGTTCGCTAAAGCGGATGTCAGAATGAGCTGAAAATTTGCTGATGTGGAATCTCTTGAATCATCGCAAATACCCTTGACCACTGGAAGATCGTTTCAATCTATATATATATATATATATGGTGCACGTTGCCACGTGGACTCGCAGCTCCGATTACCGACCTGTCAAGTCATTTGAGGTCCAAGAGTGAAAACAGGAGTCAATTCGACCGCTTGCTGCCGTCGCATCCGCCGACTCCTTCCACTGTCCCCTCATTTGTACTCGGGCACAGTAGCAGCAGTTCTTCCGCTTGCATGGTAGCGGAGCCCAACACGGGCTGGTAGGATTTGTTTTCCTTAGGTTGTAGCTCTTAGGTGCCTCGCCCCTAGGAGCATGTCCGAGCGGATAGAGCGCAGCAAAGATGGCGTCCCCCAGTGGGACGGGGCAGCTTCGACCTTCCAGGAGTACAGTGAAACCGCAGAGCACTGGGAACAAACGGTTCCCTACCACAAGCGATACCTGTGTGGTCCCAAGCTGCTGAATGAGCTTTCCGGCACGGCACGCCGGTTCGTTCTGGCGAAGCCACCGGGATGGGTATCACATGATGGAGGAGTTCAGACCTTGCTGACTCACTTGCGCCAGCACCTGGGCCTGCCTCAGCTTTCCGAGATGGCTGACTTCATGGCCCGCTACTTCAAGCAGTCCAGGCGCAAGCGAGGAGAAAGCATGAACGAGTACATCACCCGCAAGGCTGAGCTTTACAGCCGAGCTGAGATGACTTTGAAGCGAGCACAAGGTCGCTATGGGGCATCCACATCCTCGAAGAGCTCAGGGGCACCAACTTCTCAGAGGGCACTCTCGTGGTGGGGAGGGGAAGAACCTCACGGTGAGAGTGAAGAAGGAGGTGAATTCTATGAGGCCAACTCCCAAGAGATGAACAATGAGTCTGAAGCCAATGATCCAGGGACCGAGGGCCGGGAGTCAACTACCTGGCAGGGCTCTGATTGGGATGCCTGGCAATGGCCACCACAGTCCTCATCATGGGATTGGACCGGATACGACCAGAGACGGCAGCCATGGTCTCGGTGGGGCAGTTCACAGAATGACACCACTGGGGCCAACAATGATGGGTCGGTGAGTTTGCTCCCCGACTTTGTACAGGGATGGTTCTTGCTCCAGGATGCTGGATTGGATACCAATGAACGCAACATGATCATGGCAGCCCTGAAAGGCAACTTCACCATGTCCCGCGTAGCCCAGGAGCTGCGCAACCAATGGTCTGAAGATGAGCTGAAGCGCAGGGATCAGGGCAACCGAACTACAGCCTGGTGGTGCGATGAGCCAGATCATGATGATCCTTTCGCAGCCGATCAGGATAGTCCTGACATGGCATGCCTGGCTCAGTCAGGACTGAATGCCAAGGGTATGGCATTGGTCAATGAGGCTGAGACGGAGGCCCAGCAGGCCATGGCCTTAGTGGAGAAGGGCCGTCGCACTTTGCGAGAGGCCCGAGCAAAGCAACACTATGTGAAACTCAGCCGTCAATACTATGGGCCACCAGGAAGGTTCCAACATCCCGGTCGACAAGAACCGCATGTGAGAAAGGAGACCACAGCTACCACGGCATCGATGGCCAAGTGTCTGAGCTGCGGCGGAAGCCACAAAACCCAGGAATGCCCACGGAAAACCAAGGCATTCCAGGCTTCACCACCTGATGAACATGAACATCAAGCACCCTTCATTTGCCTGACCGACCAGGTGATGACAGCCGTGGCTGGATACGAGGTGCATGGCAAACCCTCGACTCAGGAGGCCATGCACCAGGGCAAGGCGGTGATAGATGGAGGCGCGACCAAGACACTTGGGTCCGTGACCGCTGTCGAGCGCTTGATGGAGCTCAACAGCCAGCAGCATGGGGACTCCCGGTTGTCCCGTCTGGACACGGACGAAAAGCCAACTTTCGGCTTCGGAAACTCCTCATCCGATCAATGCCTATCCACCGCCTGGATGAAAGTGAAAGCTGGAGGTCACCAAGGTGAACTGAAGATTCACACACTCGACAAGGGCAATGGCCCTATCTTATTTTCCGTTGAGGCCTTGAGGGCCCTCGGCGCGATCATCGATTTTGAACATGATTTGATTTGCTTTAGGAAGTTGAGCGGTGATCGCATAATTCAATTGGAGCAATCGAGTTCAGGGCATCAGCTGCTCCCTCTGTCAAGTGATTTGTATGACAACTCCCACCGGGCTAAGACCCCAGTGGTCAGCCTGAAGGACATGATCTAGGGGCAACTCCTCCCTCCTTCCGAGTCTGCGGAAGAAAGGGAGGTGCCATTGAGCAGTGCAGACAAGTTTTTGAACTCTCATGCTCAGCATTCAGGGTTGTTGGAAAGTGAAAACGTGAAACTTGAGAAACTCGAAGGTGATGATGTTTTGTCGGTTTCGCACTCGAATCGTGAAGTGAGTCAACACACTACCAACATACACACATCGACATACCCTCCTCACAACCACATGTTTACAGCCGCCGCAGCAGCTGCAGCATCTCAAGGTGATCTGAACGAACTGCCCGAGCTCGTCACCAGAGCCAGCACCTCAGATGCCTCGCAAATCCGAGCTGATCGAAGCGATGGTGGCTCTGGGGGAACAGCCTCCCAAGTCATGGACAGTGGCCGAGATAGAAAGCCGTCTGGGCGAGCTTCGTCAGGAACATGGCATCGCTCCTCCTCGTACCGGCAAGTCTCGGACTCCACTGCGCCAGATGATGGTCGATCTCAACCAGGCCAGTCGCAAGAAGGCCCATCTCATCGACCATGTGAAGAGTTTGGGGGTCTCGATCAACGGCAACGAGACCATCAAGGTGCTGATGGCCAAGGGGATTCAGGCCATCTACGACAAGGCGGAACCCACCGGTCAGGATCCAGTGGGATTCGGGACCCATGCCTCGAAAACATACGAGGAACTGTTCCAGGGAGAAGCCAGCTACTGCCAATGGATTCGCACCATGGTCCAGGAGGAAGAGTCTGTCAACCCGAGATTCATGCGCCTGGCTCTATGGCTGGACCATCGCGTCAAGAAGGAGGACGGCACTCGGAAGGCACCGACCATGACAGCGGCAGCTTCCAAGGGCTACCAGACCGCCAAGGAGAAGATGGCTCCACCCAACATGACAGAGGAATCCAATTCATCCTCGAACGCAGCTGCGGAGACACAGGAGTTGAAGATGATGATCACGATGCTGGCCACGTCCATGGGCGAAATGAAAGAGGAGCTGGCTGCATTGAAGAACGAGCCACCTCGCAAGCATCGAGCCCCGGCCACAGAGTCGATCTCTTCGTTCGAGATGATGGAACACCCATCTCTCAATTAGCACCAGAGCTCAGCACTGGCGCGCATGACCAAGGTCAGCATGGCTTGCTGACTGGGGTGGAGACGAACCAGGGAGTTCAGTGTAATGTTTCATCTCGGTTTGGTAGGTCCTTGTTTCGTAGGGTGGAAAATATGATCCCTGAAGCTCTCCAATCCTTGGTCCTCCAGGACAGGGTACATCTGCTTGAGATCGCATGCAGCCCTGATAGCGTTTTGACCTCGACTATGCAGGACATGGCTGGAAGCGAAAAGGCAGCTTCCAGAGCTTCCATTTGGAATCAGTTCGATTTGACGACGAACGCCGGAGTGCATGCAGTTTTGGACAAGATTGATCATGAAAACCCCGCTCATGTTTGGATTTCTACGGAATGTGGACCATATTCAGTGATGCAAAACATCAACCAACGAAATGAGGCCTAGAAACAGGAACTGGATGAGAAACGTAGGCAGGTTCTTAAACAGTATGTTGGAGGTGCCATCGTGTTTGCTTACTGTGCCCAACGGGGCACCCATGTGACGTGGGAATGGGCCCAATCATGTCAGGCTTGGAGGCTTCCCATGATCCAACACATGGCCTCGAGGTACCAAACCCAATTCGCCGTCGTTCGTGGTTGTCGAGTGAACCTTCGTAATTCGACGGGATCGTTCGTTTCGAAGGGCTGGAAACTGATGACCACTAGTCCTCTGATGGCCTCTCGCATGAACATGCCATGTCAGTGTGCTCAATCCACGGTTCATGTCCCTTGTGAAGGCCCCCTCACTAAGAAGTCGGCTTTTTATACTCGTGAGTTCGCGCGTCGCGTTTGCGAGACGATTTTGCAGGGGGACACGAAGGTGACCTTGTGTGATGAATTTCAGGGGAGATTGAAGGGAAGTGATCTGTTTGGGAAGGGGTCGATCTGCGTGTGTGACGAACGTCGTGCGCATGGGTCCGAGGTGACTTGTGGACATTGTAGGGTTTCGTTGTCGGAGGCTATGGCCGCCGATCACCCTCCGGCCCCATGCTCTCTGAGTCCCGACCAGATTCAACAGAGACTTCACCTCCTTCACTCGGCCACTGGACATAGTCCCGTTCGGTACATGGTTCAGGCACTTAGGAGAAGAGGTGTTCATGCTGATATCTTGAAAGCCGCCCAGCAATTTAGATGCTCCACGTGTGAGGAGCGTGCTCGTCCGAATCCTCGGAACTTGTCGGCCTTGGAACCCCAACCTCCGAAGTTTGACACGATCTCGTCCGACGTTGGTCACATGGTCCATCCGCACACGGGGGAACATTTTCAATTCCTGGTTGTGGTTGACGAAGGTTCGAGGTTTAAGGTGTCACGAGTGGTTTTGAAGGGGAAGAAGAAACACCTGTCGGCCGCACAGTTCATCACCACACTGAAAGAAGCATGGTGCAGCTATTTCGGCACCCCCAGAGTGTTGAGGTTAGATCCTGATGGAGCTTTCAGGAGCAGGGAACTGAGCGAATTCTGTGACCAGCACCATATCTATCTGGATTTGATCCCCGGTGAAGCACACTGGAAGTTGGGTGTTTGTGAACGTAGCTTGCAGTCCATCAAAGCCATCCTCATCAAAGTGTTGACCACTCACCCCGACAGCACACCGGAAGACGCTCTCGCAGAAAGTGTGAGGGCGCTGAACTGTCGTGAGGTGATTCGTGGATACTCCCCTCTACAACACGTGATTGGTCGTGCACCCGATGATACAGGAAGATTTTTCACAACAGACAGCACAGCATCCCCAGACATTTTGTCAGAGAGTCCCGCACAAGGACACCAACGTTCAGAGGAGCTGAGGCTGACTGCAGAAAAAGCATTCCTTGACTGGAACAGTGCAGATAGAATGACAAGAGCACTGAATTCCCGCCATCGACGTGTGCTGGACTTTTCAGCTGGCGACCTGGTGTTCATCTGGCGACGACAAGTCACTGGAAAGGACGCAAAGCCATCGAATGATACTCAAGGACGTTTTGTGGGCCCGGCGAGGATCCTGGCCACCGAGCAGCACAAAGACACCCAAGGACATCTCGTACCAGGTTCCTCCGTGTGGCTGGTACGAGGCAGAAGACTGTTGAAGTGCTGCCCAGAACAGTTGAGGCACGCGTCCGAGAAGGAACAACTCATCGAAGACCTCCATGCAGATGAACCACAAGCATGGGACTTTCCTCGAGTTGCCGATGAACTTGGGGGAAATGAATATGAGGATTGGTCAGAAACACCACCAGAACAAGAATGGCTACGGGCCAGCGACCCCCAACACGAGTGGCAACCAACAGTCCGCCAGTGGGGAAAACGTGGCCGACCACCAGATCCCAGGGAGGAACCAGTCACAATTGGTCCAGAGGGCCCCGAGAGCAGTCGTTGGAGACCGGCACCACCTGGTGCACGAGCCGGCAGATCCCGCAGTCCCATCCCACGAGTCGCCAACCGAGAGGAAACATCCCTCGAGCGACTCGCCAGGGACAAAGCGGAAGACTACAGGCCATCTCCACACTCCCAACAGGACCACACACACCGGTCCAGAAGCCGAGGACCAGAGCCACCCGTAGGTTTTGTGACAGGCGAAAGCTGGACAAGCCAGGTTTCCGAAGGAGTGTTCCTGACCACGGAGACACCTGCTTACTGGTCACAAGAAGAAGCCATGATAGCTATCTCCATTACGATGCCACAGTCTCGAGGAGCATCAGAGAGAGCTATGAAAGACCTGTCAGGCTACTTGGTGTCCGCCATGAAGAAGAGAGCGATAGAGATCTCGGAGAGACGAATGACACCACAAGAGAAGATTGAGTTCGGCAAGGCCAAGAACGTGGAAGTGACAAACTTCCTGTCAGCAAAGGCCTTTGAAGCACTGCCTGAGGGCTATCGAGCCAAGAAGGAAGATGCCATTCGTATGAGGTGGATCCTGACCTGGAAGTCCCTTCCCAATGGGGGTTCCAAGGCGAAGGCCAGGGCAGTGTTGCTGGGGTATATGGATCCCCACTATGAGCAAAGGGCAACAGCATCACCCACCACGACACGGCAGACCCGCCAGATCCAGCTGACCATAGCTGCCTCCAAGGGCTTCACAACTCACAAAGGAGATGTCACAGGAGCATTCCTCCAGTCCAGACAATATCCAGAAGAGCTCCTATGCATTCCCTGTCCAGAAATACTGGAGGCTATGGGACTCCCAGCTGAGACAATTACCCGGGTCAAAAAGGCCTGCTATGGTTTGGTTGATGCCCCACTAGAGTGGTATCGTTCAGTTAGCAGCTTCTTCAACCAACTCAAGCTCAAGCGATGTTGGGCAGATCCTTGTTGTTGGACATTCACCCACAATAACCAGCTAGAAGGTATCATTTCTGGCCATGTGGATGATTTTGTATTTTCAGGCAACGAGAGTTCCACAGCTTGGCAGTCAGTCCTGGCAGCAATCAAGCAAGAGTACAAATGGACAGACTGGGAATCCGGAACATTTGTTCAGTGTGGAGTCAAGGTTGAGGCCCACTCGGATGGTTCCTACTCCTTGTCTCAGGAGAGCTATGTGGAGGACCTGAAGTACATCAACATTCGAGCACATCGCAAGAAGGACAAGCATGCAGCCACAGACGACCATGAAAAGGGTCAACTACGTGCCTTGTTAGGAGGAGTTAGCTGGCATGCACAACAAGTGGCCCCACACTTCTCCGCCGAGACAGGCTTGCTCCTGTCCGAAGTGACCAAGAGTACAGTGGACACTCTCAACAGGGCCAACAAGCTGATGCACCAGGTGAAAACATGCAAAGAACATCGCCTTTGGATTCCTAAGCTGGACTCACAGGGGATAGGTTTGTTTGCTTGGTGCGACGCAGCGGCACAAAACAGAGTTGATGGTGGCAGCACTCAGGGTATTTTCATTGGAGCAGCCAGTGTGAATTTGTTGACAGGACAAAGTGAGACCATATCACCGATCCTCTGGCAGTCCTCCAAGATCCAGCGAGTATGTCGCTCCCCAGGAGCAGCAGAAGCAGTGGCTGCAGTCAACGCACAAGACTCTCTCTTCTTTGCAAGATTTCAATTTGCAGAGATGCTTGGCCAGGACATCGACGTACGGCAGATCAACAGAGCAGTCAACTCCATCCCTGGATGTGTGATCACCGACTCACGCAATGTCTTCGACAAGACCTCTTCCGAGGTAGTGTGCACCAAGGGCCATGAACGGAGAACCGACTTGGATATGCTCAGCCTCAAATATGCTCAACACCGCAATGGTGTGAAAATCCGATGGGTTCACTCAGAAGCTCAGCTGGCTAACTCTCTCACGAAACATGAGATGAAGCAGCTGATGATGTTCTATGATATGAAGCAACGCTGGAAGATAGTGAAGGACATCCATATGAGCTCAGCGCGAAAGCGCAAAGAACAGGGACTGGAACCTCTCCAGGACACCGCAACAGCCGAAGACCACATACAACAACAAAGCCAACAACAAAACAACATCGACTCACTTCAGTGATTGCTTGGTTGGCCGTGGTTGTTTCTGTTTTTCTGTGAATGATTGAAACACTTTCCACTACCAGAATGCGAGCTAAACGCATGAGGTGGCATGCACGTTGCCACGTGGACTCGCAGCTCCGATTACCGACCTGTCAAGTCATTTGAGGTCCAAGAGTGAAAACAGGAGTCAATTCGACCGCTTGCTGCCGTCGCATCCGCCGACTCCTTCCACTGTCCCCTCATTTGTACTCGGGCACAGTAGCAGCAGTTCTTCCGCTTGCATATGGTATATATGGGTGTGCGTCAAAACCCCGGGTCTCAGGTAAACATCGCGCACCTTCCTGTTCCAGAGGGTATGGAACGGATCCCTTGTTCCATAAGGTATGGAACAGGTATGGAACGGGGGTATGGAACAAATTGTACCAAAAAACCTGACGTGTCATCTCAGTCCCGTTTCTCACGGTAAATGTATTTCAGCAAGCAAAGCGCACGTTTTGATTGAACCTCGAACAATTGCAAACTAGGAATCCATAGGTATGGAACGATGGGTATGGAACGGCAAACAGACATGCTGTACCACAGGTATGGAACGGGGTATGGAACGAGATGTTCAAGAGTACATGTTCCATACCAAAACGTCTTGACTCATGGCCATATAGCCACTAAAACCCGCTTTCTTGTCCTCAATATGTCCAATCAAACCACCAAAAGGCCCGTTTCGACGTCCCTTTTGTCAACACATCGACACAGCCGAAGCTTCGCTGCAGTCGCCCCGGTGAGGACAATATTGAAGTACCTGGGGCGGCAGCGGTCGAAGCCATGCGCTGCGGTCAAGGCCATGCTGTAGCAGCAGATTGGCGGCGTTTTCTGTATGCTTGATCGACACAGTCAACTCGTTGTTGGGTGGAACCGAGTCAGAGACCTGTCACAATCGGTTTGCTTCAACTAACCCCAATCGATCTGGATCGCAAAAGTGTATTATGGACTTAGGGAGGAATTGCTAATCTAGCTGGGCCTTTTCACCTCTTCCTTTACAACGGACAGGGAGTCGCAGTTTCGGAGGCAAGGAGCAGGCTGGAGCTTGGGGAGTCGGGAACAAGCGGAACGCTCCAAGCACGCCCAGGACGAAGTGCGGAATCGATCATCGATCGCCTTTGAATGTTCTCTGCGTACATGTGTTTGTTAATGTCGTTGTTAGAATTGTATATGTTCCTCCAGGGCGACGTTTTTGCTCAGTCAGTGCCGTTTGGTGGTTTGTTCACCCGGATTCAGATCCATGCTCCAAGTGGAAACATCTACCGATCCAGCGGGCTGAACGGAGCGACTTGAACAGTCACAAAGTCTAGGAAATGCTCCAGATGCGGGAGGTGCTTGAGATGTGGTCTCACTCACCTCAAGACCTGTTCGCAGGATTTGCATGAAGCTGTTTTCCAAAAGGGCACCGGGCATATTATTGCCACAATCCAAACCTAAATCGGAATTATCATGATCTGATCTGTCTCTCTTTTGATACAACACCTATACCCGTGCGAACCTTCGTTCGGTGACCTTCAAATCAACACCTCCGCCTCCAAAAGCTGCCAGGAAATGACGTGGAATGACTGTATACTTTTTCGAGTCAGAACTCGCTGGAAGAGAATGCCCAACCGCCGGGGTCACAAGTTCTATTCAATCCGGTCCCTTGCATGGGTGCGCCTCTCCAAATTCAGGACCATGTCCTTCTCCTGCTGGGACACAGCACCAGTCCAACACCCAACGATCAACCCCCGATCCTCTGTTCGGACTCCCAGCTGCAAGCGCTGCATAGTGCTGGAGGATTTGCCATAGAGCCAAGCCATGAAAAGGCCGTTCAAGGTATCGATCAAGCACATTCCAGTCAAAAACATGAAGGGGAGGATCATGACATATGCCTCAGCATTCAGAAACGAGTTCAATCGCGCAGCTTTGACCTGCACACCCACAAACAGCTGCCGGACACGAAACGTTTGAACATGCCGATGATGCAGTTGCTGCACGATGGCCAGCCAAAACTAACTTTGGCTACAATTACCATCAATTACCAGCGACTGAGCATGGCAATTTCAGCATCATGCTTTGGCAAGAGCCTAAGTGACGAAACAGTATTCACTCTGCTATGTTGGTGGGCGGTAGTGGTGCGTAAAGGGAGGCCCTTTAACTCCACCCCACCCACAAACAAGCGAACAAACAAACCAACACAGCCTGGGGACTGAATTCACCTGAATTCACCACCTGTTTCGGGTCCCGAGTTCCCACCCCAGCCTGGTCCAGTGAACCCCAAATGCTACGAAAAAAGCCGACTCGGACGCACCGAGATCACCGATCCCGCTTTGACTCGGTGACGGACGCTCTACTCTCCCCTCGACGGGGCCACCGAGTGGCCGGGTGGGGCAAGTCGCCTGAAAGCCCGACCTGACTCGAGGACCGGTGCCCACGACCGGCAGACCGGCGTTCGGGAGAAAGGCCCCTGCGGGTTCGAGGAGCCGGTGGTGACCGAAGGTGTCCCAAAAAGAAGCACAGAAGGTGTCCCAAAAAGAAGCACAGAAGGTGTCGTTGAGATGTTCTGTTTGCTTGACAACGCAACTGATCAAGAGCTCTTTTGGGGGTCTCGAAGATCAACTGGAAGATCAACTGGCAAGTTGAAGCAAGTTGCACGAAAACTACAGCAAACAGCCGGAAGTCTTCAAAACACGTCCGTTCAACGAAACTCTTCTGCTCTGATCTGAACAAGAAACGTGTTCTCCATCATGCACGGGAATCCACTGAGACCAAGGTGCCATGGCCAAAAGTGCGATTTCGCTGGAGGTATCAAAGCTCAGGCCGAAGAGGAAGCCCACGGGATACCTGACGCACGGATGACATGGGGGGGGAACTACAGCAAATGTTGGATACACAGAGGGACCACAAACACTTGGGGAAAAGATGTTAGTTGACCTTCGGGCCGGCCAAAACTTCCACGAAAAACAGGTGAATTCAGAAGGACGAGACTGTCGATCTGGCTGTTGGATGTGGCTGGTGCTGTGCAGCCACCCACCATGCAACACCATCAGGGATGAACAGGAGCCTTTGGGCCGTTGGCCTTTAATACAAACAGCTGCGAAGTTTTCCCACTGTCGCAAGCTTCAAAGTAGCATCCTAGTTCCCAACCGTTGAACACAGAACTATCCCGCCACATATGCATGAGGGGAGCATCTGCCAAGAAGAGGTAATACCCGTGAACAAGCTGGGGCAGCAGGTCATACATAGCCCCGCCACGGCGTGTTCATGTTCTCCATATCCTCAGCTAAGGAGCTGTCGCCAAGCTGACGAAGCTGAACACATGATCTGAGAGGTTTTTGCTGCCTGACCCCAAAAAGAACGACAACCTGAAGGGCTATGTTTTTGTGATTATTTGAAATGGTTGATTGCATTTGATTGCCATGATCTTGGCAGGTTCATCTGCCCATCTCAAACATCAAAATGCCGCACTGTAAAGGGCGAACTGAACGAACAGCACTGGGACAACTCGTCGCCCGACGCATGCAGAAAAATGAGAAAACATCTGCAAGTATCTGCAATCCAAGTTTCTGGCCTGTTCCTGAGCCAATCTGGGCCACGAGTATACCCACACCCCGGGTTTTTTTTCTAGTGGAGTGGGTTGAAGTGCAAAACGCCTTCCGAACTTCGGTCGCTCAAGAGATCCCTGTTGTTTTGAAAGCCCGAGGTCGTCTCCCCCAATCCTCAAGAAAACATCGAGCTGACTAACATGACTGATTCACGGGCGTCTCAAACGAGCTGACTTACAAATTTCATCATGGTTTCCTTCAGCGAACGCTTCTTGGCCCCGCCATGTTTTAGGGCTCAGATAGCCTCTCATCCGAGGACGGTGCCTTCCAGGCTTGCAGCAACTCTCTCATGGTGCAGGTGTTGAGCACCTAAGAGCTTGAGAGCTTCGCTGGCAACATCTCGTTGGAGGTTTCAGCCTACCTGATAAACAGGGTAATTGGAATTGGGATTGTATGGTATATATATGTATATATGAATGTGTCATTCGTCCCATAGAATAGCAAGTAAGAATTTTGGAAATTGAAATCACCAACAAAATCTAACTACAGTAACAACTCCAACCAAAATTTTGTTTCAGACATCGTCCCATGTAGCCAGAAGTAGACCGCCGGATCTCAGAACAATCGCCCAACCTTCCAAGTTGGGTCTTGGCAGTTGGTTCCTTCCAACGCTTCCCAAAGTTCCCGGCTTGTTCCCACTATCTTCAGCCAAATTCTTTTGCAAACAAGAGAGCATTTGGGCACCACAAGCTAAACCGATCCCAGCTTCGAAAAAACAAAGAAGCCTTTGATCTTTTCATGTGGCGAAAGCTGCGGGCCTTTGAACACAGTTCAGGCATCTACTGGCAGCATGTATTAGAATAGCTGCCACCTATGCTGCTCTTCGGATTGACGAAACCGCTCCGTCTCCCAAATGGTCACCCCCACCGGGTCGGCCCGAGGCCCCGACACCCACACCCAAAAGAAAGCCTGGGCGTTGAGCTGAAGCCCACCATGAGTCCAGCCACACGAAAAAAACAAAACAAATGTTTGTCGATCTGCCCATCTGGTTGGGAGGGTTTTGGGGTGCTAGATGTTGAGACACCAATTACTGGCCTGTAAACCGTGCCTCTAGATTTGCGCAAATCAACAATCATTGGGCCTCAAGAAATGACCAAGACTGTGAGAAAGCACACGGAGGAATTTCAAAACAAAACATCTGGTTGCACTTTGGCACCAGCACCCTTCACCATGCTGAGAAAAAGAACAGGCTCATGATCAACCCGGCGATGATGTGAACAGAGATCTCATTGAGTCGAGACAAAGGGATAAGCGGTGGCGTGGAACCCACGCTCATGACATCAATCTTCGCGCAAAAGCTTTGCCAGCTCAAAAGAGTCTGGGTCGTGTGGATGTCGCTGAGTTTGCTGATGTGTGCTAATTTGCTCTTCAGTTCTTCCGAAGTCGCCACCTCTCCACCATGCTCGGGCATGGTCGGATGGACCGAATAGGGTTAATAGCAGTTCAAAGCGAACGCCTTGTATTAAAATAGAAATACCTTCGAAGCCACTAACAGTCCCTATCTATCTATTCTATGAATCCTCTACATTGGAAAGAAGGCCAGTCATACTGAAGATCGGCTTTCCACTCCATCTCCTGCTTGCCCGCACCCGGCGTTGTTCGCTTCCATCTTCCTTCAAGCATAGCCTCCGAGAGACAGGCAGAGAAGAGTCCTCCGAGAACGGTTCCAGTCTTCGTCATGGACCTTGAGCTTCGCTGTCCGGGGGCTCCGAGCTCGGTGTCCCCGCGTGGAGGCTCCAGTTTTCCCCAAGGTGTCCGGTTGGGTCAGAGGTTGCGGCTCCCACTTTCGTGGCCCAAAAACGGTGGGTCTCTGACGTCAAATGGGCACAGGCGTTCTTCTTGGGCGACCCGAGGAGCACCACCCGCTTCGAGAACAACACAGAAAGAACTGTGTGGAATTGATGCCACCTTTGCAAAGGTTACTCCACCAAATACAAGCCAATCTCATCCATCAAAAATCAGATGAACTGTCCATTCTGGTTTACCTCCTAGAGCACATCCAACTTCACGAGACTCATCTCTTCAAGGTGCTCAGTGCTCAGCTCAAATCTCCTACCACCCGTTTCCTCGATGCTAGTAACCAGGGCATCGCTATTTTAAACAAGTGCATCGCTACTAATTAGTAGCTTCTAGCTACTAGTAGCTTTTAGCTACTACTAGCGATGCCCTTGGTACTAGTAGCGATGCAGATGTTACTAATAGCGATGCTCAAAAGAAACTCCAAATTTCACGGGACGGTTCGAGTTGCTCTTGCCGATCAGGATGCGTCAAATGGTCCATGGCCTTCTCTCGGCCTACAGCCACGAAGCCACACCTCAGCGCCATCATCGCTCCCGTCTGAGTTGCCTGTGCAGATCTGTTTCTCCAGCCGCCCTTCGTTCAGAAAAGCTGGACGTCCTCATCTCAATCTTTATATATATAATTACATATATATATATATATATTACAATACCTGGCATCACAAAAAAGAATGCTCTGCTCGGCAATCTACAGAAGAAAAGTGACCTGCAGAAGAACTCGCAGCGGCTTGGGTCGGAACTACCGATTCAGCTAGCTTTGGTGCCACGAACGTGCATCGAACGTGCATATCCATCACCACATCCGTAACTGACCAAGGTGCATAATGAGCACCACTGTGGAATGCCCCAAAGCAAAGAAAAAGCCCGCCATCGCCGAGCGTTTGTTCAGGGTCGTCAGCCTGACGACCGCTCGCGTCGGGACCAGACCAGGCGGATGTAACTTGCTCGAGCGAAGGAGACTGACGCGTCAGGGCGGCTTGGTGTTACAGGGTGGTGTGACTTCTGCCTTCAGAGATTCAGACAGCACAAAATGTGTCTGATGTTTTTTTTCTCTGCAGGCGACTGCCAGTGGTATACCTAGTTTGACTGCTCAGAAGCACGGCACGTCGGATGGAAGTGTCCGGCTTTTCTGAGTTAAGTCTCGGCCTCAAACAAAGCAGTGAACATGAACCTGGAAACATCAAAAACCAGGCGGGGGTTACCACATATCAAGCGGGGGTTACCCGTGGAAGCTGGTCTACTCAGCAGTCTGCTCATTCTCACCCGAACCTTAAATATGAGGGAACCACCAATCTCAAATGTGCTTTGGATTGGGAACCCCCTCAAAAATCATAGTCTTTTTCAGTCAGGGCATTTGAACAGCTGGAATCAGCTGTATTGTCCACTTGACGGTAAGTCTTGACCGTATACTACAAACAGACTCAATACCACCGGTGCTGTACCCCCGTCTTCAACAGTTTTGGACCGTCTTCTTTGTTCGACGTCCGTTTTGGACCGTCGACAGTCGCACCGTCGACCGGCACGACGACCCGGTTTCCACACCCCCGGCTTCGACGCCCCGAGGAGGACGACTTGGAGGCATCGGTCGTCATTGTGCGGGGCCCATGCCGATGCCTTTTGGTGATGTTGTCAATGGCCGCAATATGATCTGCATCGATGGCATGTCGAAGCCTCGGTGGAAGAAGAAGACATGTCTCCGCTTTTTTTCCAGGTGGGGGCGGCTCATTGGACGGCTTTTCCAAAGCAGCGCACCAGGTGGTGGTGATCTTTGTGTCGGGGGCACGATGTCTATAACTTCACAACGAAGGTCTGTTTCATCTATCAGATGGCCATGACGGAAGTGTCATCATTGCACCGATCTATATGCTATCACACCTCTCTTCTGATGTTTGGACAACGCATGTGCGATTCCAATGCTGCAGGCTACTGGTACATCATGGTACATCCAATGGTCTTTTTGGTGCAAGAAAGGCTTCACAGCAGCTGTGAATCTACCCAGACACTCCATGTATGCCATATATGGCTACATATGGCTACATTGACCCCCCAAACCACCCCAATGTAGGTATATAATATATGCCATACATGGAGTGTCTGGGCTATGACAACACACCGAAAAGACCAGTCCAGTATTTTGGAGGACACCTAGGGGCTCCTGGCCTTACTACGCACGGACGCTACGCAACGGGGCAACCTGAAAACAAAAGCCCGTTCGGCTAAGCTGAAGCCCAAGGCGAAGCTGCCCGATGGTGTAGGCCAACAAGCCAGAAGCCAAGAGCTCTGGCACAAGGAGCGTCAGTGCACCAGTGGTCAACACCTTGGGGTCGGATACGGGGCTTGGGTGAGCGAGTCATGCGGTCGGGTTTTGCTGAAGCGGTCCGACATCAGGACACTTCAAGGTTTTGCTTCAGGTCTGTTCTTTAGATGTTTGCATGAAGTCAACCACCGAAAGAACAAAAACAAACCTCCTGCAAAGGTTTTTCAATACTGGTACGACGGCTTTTTGAAAAAGGTCTCCCGTAACTGCTGGAAACTTCTCTCTTTCGGTCGCCCCCTTCCTGCGCAGTCTTTGCAGCTGAGACACCGTGACCACAGCAATGCCAGAAAGCACCTAACAGACACTGTGACACACACCACGATGCAGTTCTCAAGCACCTTTTTTTGGGGCTGCGATCTCAGTCCACCCTGGCACCAGCTTCACGAGCTTCTCGCTTCGATCAAGAGGCGTCACGGCCGAGCTTCGCCGACTTCTTCACCAATACGGAACTCTCTGGAGGGGGTCGCGCGCGCGCGCGTGCGCGCGCAGCTCCAAAGGTTTCCAAGCGTTGACAGCTCCGGAAATCCCCAAATCAAACCCGCAAGCAGCTCATCGCGGTGCGCAGCTGCTCAGCTCACCCATGAAAGCTTCACAACGCATCTGCAGTAAGGAATGGATCGATTGATGATCAGCCCAACCTAAGGCCGCCACTTGAGTGGCCTGTCGATGGAGATCTTCAATGGAGACGGCTTGTCCATCACCACCAAGCAAACCCTGGCCACACAGGGGCACAAAAAGCATCACTTGCCAACACATTCTTCAGAACAAGAGAAAGAGACCAAAATATCGGGTATAGAATCGGATTTATCATCAAATGGTGTGATAAAATCAATAAGTCAACAAATATTCTTATGTTTGATCATATAGAAGTATATGTGTTTCCCCCTGTTGTATTACAAACGCGTTGGAAATAACTATAATGATACATGGGCATGATACTGTATACCAAATATATATTGTATGTCTTTTGATATCATATTTGGATCTAAAGATACCTCGCTAAATCATAGACATGTGTAGCGTGGGCAACCAAAAAGGTAGACGGGACTGCAGATAAAGAGGTGGCCATGTGTCAGGATACCTGAAGAGTAGGGAGCTGATGCTGGGGGATACGATTAGGAGGGATCACCCGCATTTCAGGCTGTTTGGCAACAATTTCTGGGAATCGAAATAACATGCCACATGAAAGCCAGGATTGAAACTACTTCAGGCCCATGTTTTCAGTTGAAATATGCAAAACCCGGAAATGCTTTAGAGGTGAGCTTTGGGCGATTCTTCCCTCGAAAGCGACGGAGCTCTAGGCGTGTCTTCAGAGTGACGAGTCCAAGGAAGAAGGAAACGAGCCAAATTTTGTGCAGAAAGGTGGTTGAACACTTCTTGGGATTGATACATTTTTTTGATATTCTTTTGAGTATCGCCCCTTCAACATCCAGAATGGGCATCTGTTGATAGTTGGCAAGGCACTAGAGAGTAGAGCTGGGGGGTTGCCGCATGTGCCTCGGACAAGTCTTCTCTGTTGCCCCGTGCCATCGCTCACTGTTTTTCAGTGGAATCGCTGGCCAATCTTGCTACTAATCTGCTGAAGCTGGGTGCTTGTTTGCCTGAGTCCATCCACCACCACTTGACACCTTCTACACATAGTTTCTCAGGCTGACAGAGAATTCTGCGGTGCAGCCACGATCAGAATGCAAAGCAATACGTGTCCTCTTGACAGTTGGTTATTGGTCCTTACCAAATCAGCCACACCCAACAAGAGGCATAGACGACATAGATTTGTTGCCGTAAATGCGTGCCGTGTCATTGGCAAATCAAGCGACAAACAGTAAAGAAACCAGACTCTGATTGTCGGCCTCAAGAGCCCTTTCCGATATGCCCCAACTCCAAATGAATCCCTTCTCAAACACAAGAGCACATCAACTGCCACTGATCCGCATCACATGTCCCAATCCACCTTGCCTTGGAGGACTCTCCCAATAGAACACATCAACCCACTTCTGTTAGGCGGTGACGGAAGAAAATCCATCTCATCAGACATGGGAGACACATGGGAGACCCCAGAGAACCCGCAAACAACCTCCAGGTCTTTGGTCCCTTTTCTTCTTGTTCTGCTCGGTTCGTGAGGATTAGTCGACCTTCTCGAAGTGGCTTGGACGATCTTCATCCATCTCCACTTCGTCTACCCCCAGCCGCTCCAAAAGCTCTTTGATGTGCTCCTGTCCATCCGGATGGTGAAGCGGTGAACATTCAAGCCAAAAAAAACACATGTTCAGCAGCTTTTGGGCGATATTCGGGGATAGGTAACTGCAAAAACCTATCTTGGGAATCTGAGGCCTGGTCTACTTACTTGAGACACCCGCCCAAAGCTTTTCTTGGCTGAAAACCTGGCAGAACCTGTAGGAACAGAGAGGGAGAGGAACAGAGAGGGAGAGGGACAGAGAGAGAGAGAGAAAGAGAGATAGAGACAGAGACACACACACACACACAGCCAATTTCCAGATGCCAAACGAAGTCCTCTGGCACTCCAGCCACAGCTCGTTGCCGAGAGAGGATCTCCAGGGTCATCAGCACCGCACTTTGCGCTGCCTTCGCTTCCTGCGCGGGTGGGTTTTGGCAAGCAACACTTTGTAAAATTCAAGAGAGTCTAGATTCAGATGCTGGAGATAGAGAAACCTGAAACAGTATAGATACACTATCCCTTGCTGGTAACAGGGTCCAACAATGTCCAACAGTATGTTGGCAGCAAGTGTCATTTCTTTGCTGAATGCCCCACGTGATGAAAGCCCAAAACTTTGGCAGTCGACAACCTTTGTGTTTGCCAGGGTGCCGCTGATAGCTCGTACCAGAAGTTCATGCCTCGGTCATTTGGCTAATTCACACCTTTGGCCTTTCCTGCAGGTGTTGGCCTATACTTGGCAAATTAGGAGAGCCAAAACAACTGGCCCCAAACTTTGTTGGACCATGAAAGTGATTCGATCGGAGTTCCTCAGTTCAGTTTAGCCACAGCTCAGCTATAGCCAGTTCAAAGCCCAACACACAGATCGGCCAACTTGAAAGATATTGTATGTTGACCTTGTCATCAAGTCTCTTCTCTACCGGGAGGCTCAACGCGAAGGGCAGTCCATCAGATCTGCTGTCAGGACGGAAGGTGCGGATCGAATGCCACCAGCCCGGTGGGATGAAGATGGCCTAAGACCAGGACGTCACACAATTCAACACGGGCCTTGTTTCGAATCATTTGCACCGAATCCTGCAACGCCTCCTACCAAGTAGTCAGTTAGTTTTGGAATCTTGTTCTGTTATGTTAAAAGATTATGCTAGGCCTCTATAAGCCCACAGGGTCTCAGGAAGGTTCCCAGCAGTGTGGTCGCCTAGTGACTCTGAGGAGTGTGCAGTTCTCTGTGGTGGCGAACTTGGCTTTATTTCGGCAGCGCACTTTGTTCTGGAGGTTAGTTGACTTGGTTTGGCAGGAATCAACTGGAGGGATTGGGGCCGGGCGGCCCAACCAAAAAGCTAAAAATAAAAAGGTGCAATCAAAACCAAGCCATCAAAATCCAACAAAGTCCACGAGACCCAAAGCAAACCATGAAGAACCAACCCGCAACCACATCAGCCCAAAGCCAGACATACCACCCAGTGTCAAATTCGTCAAGAAGCTACTAAAAGCCCACAAAAGAAGCTATCAAACTCTAGCCGCTAGCCATGAAATCCGAGAGCACCACCACGAGCAAGCAATCCAAAACCAAACCCAACACAAAGGCACACAAGCACACAAGCCTTTGACCAAAAGCTGCAGAAGCCACAGAAGTCAAAAGCCACAGAAACCACCAACGCCCAATGCCACACAAACGGGTAAGGGATCAAAATAAAAATAAAAATAGACTCAAAAAAAAATATTCAACGGGGATCAATAAAAAAATAAAAAGATAATCAAAAAAAATATTCTAGCCCACTGAGGATGATTGGGTTAGTAGTAGTAGCAGTAGCAGTAGCAGTAGCAGTAGCAGTAGCAGTAGCAGTAGCAGTAGCAGTCAGCAGCAGCAGCAGCAGCATCAGGAGGAGTGGTAGTAGTAGTGGTAGCAGTAGCAGTAGTCACGGCGTTCACACGAAGTTAGGCCCTACATGGCGTTGTCAGAGCGCTCGGAGACAGAAGGACTAGGATACCAGGGGACCAGCGGACCACAGGACCAGAGGACCAGGAGACCGGAGGACTAGGGGACCAGTGGACTCAAGGACCAAGGGACCAGGGGACCAAAGGACCAGTGGACCAGAGGACCAAGGGACCACATTACCAGAGGACCCGCAGACCACAAGGCCAGGAGAGCAGCAGAAAAGGCCTATCAAGGAATATTAATTTGTTGATTCGCTTTTTATTTTTATTTTGATCCTGTTTTTATTTTTTTGATGCTCTTTTTATTTTTTTTGATACCTATGCCCACACAAACCAAAGTCACAGAGTCACAAACGCCAAACAAGCCAAAGTGGGTCCTTCTGGCCTTCGGAAATTTGCTGGGTAGCACTTTCTGGAGTTGTGAGCACACACCAACGAAGCCACAGGAAACCGAAAACAAAAAGCCACAGAACCTACGGAAGCCAAAAAGCCACAGAACCAACAGAAGCCAAAAGCCATAGAAGCAACACGTGAGACAAACAAATCCAAAAACAGAAAAAAAATAGACCACCGTCCTCCGAAAACCTCTCCAATTCTATCTGCAACCTCATCCGCCGTCCGTATCTGGGTGGACAACCCTGTTTCTACTGAAGCACCTGAATAGGTTCAAGTAGATTCAACACCACCTTGCATTGAATTATAGTTGTCCACCTTCTAAGGATTTAACTGTTGAGTCCGTAAGACGTCGCTTTGCTGCAGTCGGCCCGTTGGCTGCAGGTTTCATGGGGCTCGTTCGTTGACATCTCTTGTATCTGGTCTTCACATTGTCACATGGCATGTTACGGTGTTGCCCCAAATGTTCGAAAAGCGTGAGCAGCTCTCAGAGGCCCGGGCCCAAACATTCATACCAGCCCATCAGTCACAGGGGTCAACAACATCGTATGAGGACATGATTCCATCAGGTTGGCTTAGGAGGTCATCCGAGAAGCGCTGCGCGCAGCATCCTCAAGCCACCATGTGATCACAGCCAAGAAGGGTTTTGAGAAAAATGTTTCATGTGGAAAGTCAAAGCGGTTTGGTTTGCCGTAATTGGAAGCAAGTAACAAGTCATCAGTGCCAAGCACAAAGCAGGTACAAGGGCGTGGGTCTCAGGACCCTCCAGCTCATCTTTTCGTAGGGATACGGCCAGAATTTGGAGTTTGATTGAGGAAAGGGGACGCCAAATTTTGGTTGCTTGGCGGACAGATTGACAAGGAGCATCTCCTGGCTGCAAGGAAACCCAGAATGGTTGCTCCTGCGAGATTGCGGCGTGCCAAACAACATCGCTCGACATGCTCGACCAAAAAGCAGCGTTCGATCAAGTGACGAAAGGCAAATTGTTCGTTGAAGTTGCTAGACTCTCGCGTTCCCATCCGTGAGGGTTCACCAAGGTGCTAGGGCCTGGTAGGGTATGGGCGGCAATGCCGCTCTCGTTTTCGGAAACATAAGCAGTTGAGGCAAAACGGGTTGTGAACCTAACCAAGATGAAGCCCGAAGACCTGTGCCTTTTGAAAGTCAACTTTGCACTCCCACCAAAAAGTAGCACACTGGTGGCAGCTTTGAAGCGGGCTTACTGTATGTCCTACCACAACCTTTCAGGAATTAGCAGGCCTGTCCAATGGAAAAGGGCGGTCGCGTGGTGCTCAAGAAACCGGTTGCCATTTCTCACCCAAAAAAAATGGGGCTTGGCGTCACGCTAGAAAACGTGTCTCAGGACTACAATACTTTGAAGCAAACCTCCCTTCAGAGTGAAGTTTCTATACTCTGACATGTCATTTTGAAAGCACCATCTTTACAAAAGACCCCAACTCCCCCAAAAAGTGGCACCTTCATTTCGATCGCCATTCGATGATGTCGCTGAAGATTCCTTGGCCAAAGCATGCAAAGCCTGATCAACGCATTACGAAAACCATGTCTTCCTGCCTCACCAACCTAACATGGCCGACAACTCTACAAACACAAGACAGAGCATGGCCTGCTTTCGAAAAAGAGTGTCTTGTAGAACGCGGCTGACATGCAGCTCTGGCGAGGCTCTCTTCATATGAGCTGTCAACCGAAATGAGGCCATAGTCTGTGGAGGACGCTGCGGACTGCATCTCGACCTTCTCCACGCGCATCCTGTGTTGCATACAGGTAGGTGGCTAAGCTGGGAATTTCGAGTTCGAAGGAATGAGGCAAACAACTGCATCCCGTCCGCAAAGCTGGGCCCTTCAGAGCAGCTCTGGCAAGAAAGGGGCCAGGTCTTCAGCAGGCGACGTTGATGGCAAGTAGCAATTTTCAGTTCAGTGCTTTACACGCTGTGCGGAGGGTTCTTGAAGCACCTTCATGCAAGGTTACATCATGCAGATTGGCTAGACCGCAAAGAAACATGGCGAGAGTCCGGTCCTGCTAGGTACTTACCCATGACTCTTCAAGGTTGGCTTTTGCTGCTCTTTCTTCTCTCGCTTGCAAGCTTGCTCATCTCCCAGATTTGAGAAGCATACGGAACCTCTCAGCTGCATACAGGTCCTTTTTCATTTCATCCCAAGCCCCCTCGTCATCCCAGTCGTCGCACAAAATGCATTTCCGGTGCAAATTTGAGGCTACACCCGATTCCCTCGGCCAAAAGCCACTGTGCAACTGGTGTTGCCGCTCTTCCTATTCTGTGTCTTGGTGAGAGGCCTGACACTGTGCTGCGGTCCATTCACAGAGCTTAGACGAGCTTAGAAAGAACGTCCCACCCCTTGTCGCTTGTCTTTCCAGGGAAGCTTCCCTCGTCTAGCGTCGTCGTTGCGACCAGAAAAAAGAAATGCGAGAAGATGTGACCGGCACACTCGATCGCACCCCTTGCATCAGCTTATCCCATGTGCAAAGCCATGTCCGGTGTCCGGACTCGCTGTGCTTGATGAGCAGTCTACAGACATTAAAACTGGTGGGTGTCCTTATCCATAGGGCACAGCATGGTCCAAAACCCTCTCTACCGTTCAGACCTTGAGTGAAGATGCAGTCCCTTGACCAACACCCCAAGCTTCACAGTCGACCGAAGATACAGACTTGGTGCAAAAAAAGACTTGCGTTGCTTTTGAGATCTTTGGAGTTATTTCATGTCAATTCTAGGTTGCAACCCATAGCCACAGCCCTGTGGAGGCCCACGCAGGCCCGAGAACCTGATTGGTCCGAAATCCATCTGCAGACCCAGAGGATTGGACTTCAGATGGCCGCTATATCCATTCACATCCCGACAATATCCCCTCAAAAAAAACCTTGGACCATGTAAAGCCATAAAGCAAGCGCCATGGTTGAAGACATAGGCCAAGGGCCAAGGGAAGGCACTTGGAGGGCAGGTCCTGCCCCCCTGAAGAAGACATCTGCCACTGGGACTGTGGACAAAATCGCGTAGCACACCTCAAGAAACATCGGGCACCGCTTTGGTGGCACAGAGTTGGGATAAAGGAGTTTACGTTCCGTTTAGGCAGGTCTCATGAATGCACTGCAAAGGTGTTGGAAAGAAAAGCGAGTGCATGCCAAACTGCTGTCTTTTTTTCTAAAGTAGCACTGCAGCCCGACCTTGAACATCCAGCCACCTTACCCAGGAAATTCTTCAGGCCCCTGTTGCTTCTTCAACTAGGTATGAGTACGGTGGCACAGTAGCAATTTTTCAGCTGGGCATGTCTGCCGTGCGTGTACGGTTTTAGGCCCTTTCCTCCCGGCTTCATCAGGAGCTGCTAGCTTATCTTGGTTTGCTCAAAGCACCCATCGACCCAGACTCTGGCAAGGCACAAGGCTGGCGCAAGTAGAGGAGCTACCAGGAAGACCTGATGAAGAAGGGTTCGCTAGATGCAGATCCCCGAAACAAAGAGGACGGGATAAGCCCAATCAATGGGTGACGTGTCTACGTTCCCTTTCGCTCAAGAAGTAGCAAGTGTCTAGTCTAGAATTCTTTCCTATGGACCGCAATGACGAAGGGTACAAATGAACATTAACTGCCGACGCCGATGGAATAAAACCCATGCAATTCCCTCCACTGCTCGCACGACCCAACATCCAGGAGTACACGATTTATATATCCAAATCAACACACATGTTCCGTGATGTATTCCATCATGTTCCCACCTATTTGACCCCTTCTTTTTTCGTGGGCAAACCTGGCCTACCACGACTGGCGTGACCAGAGGCCTCCTTGGAACCGCTGAGAACCACGTGGATGTTCTGCAGGTGGTCCCAATGGAAGCCAGCGGAGACGGATTGAGTGCCCTGCCACGGGTGGGAAGCCCGAAAGCCCGACCCAAAGACCAAAGGCAGGGTATGGACATGGCAACAAATAGTGTCCATCGCGCGGATCTCGTATCATCTCCACGTTCCAAGAGTCCAGTAGTAAAAACCAAACATCAGAATTGAATCAAACCTGTTCATGAGGATCAGCAGCAGTGGTGTCTGCGTCTTCGCTTCAGGCCGTCTTCTTCCGACCCCAACTAACTCCTGGGGCCTGTGGACCTCCAGAGGACATCCAGATTCGCCGCTCGCGCAGTAGTCTCTGCCACTCAGGATGGATCAAAGCAGCCTGAAATCGACGAAAAAAGCAGCCTGTCATCTCTTGTGTGAAGCTTTCAAGCCTGGTGAAGAATTTGGAGGTGCTTCCCTCCAAGAATTAGCTCAGAAAACACTCTACTGTGGCGCCAAATCGTCCAAGAGCGAAAGGTAGGGAGCATTGTTGCGCGCAAGTCGAGGGGTTCACCAAATAGAGTTCTGTTTTCAGCATGGTTGCTGTTCACGTCCAACAACGACGGCATCCAAAGAAGACCACGCGTGGCTGCCAGTGCTGTGTCTTCTGTTTTACGTTCATTCCCAGTCTCTATTTCCCACAACCTCGCCCGGTTTTCTGCCCGTTTTTCTGCCCGAGGTCGAAAAGCCAAGCAGCCGGATCCACCGGGTGGACGTCCTCAGAGACTCGATCTGTTCGTCTGAAGGATGGGATCGAGTTGGGGACCTCTATCTAGTATGTGGTGGGGATTGGTGGCAGAAACTATATCCATCACATGCTCTATCCCGAAATTGAGATAAGGACAGATCTAGTGTTACATGAAGAAGCCCTGAGACAGATTCCCTGAGTTAGTTGAATTTGCTGGAGGTTTACGTTTTGGATTCTACATTCAGAAGTGGGGCATCCTAAGCCATCAACTTTACAGTCAGTTTTGTTGGCGTAAGTTGGTGTGATCTGATGTTTGTGTGGTCATGTGAGGCTCTATGTCACCAGCAGCAGCAGCAGCAGCAGCAACAGCAGCAGCAGCCGCGGCGGCGGCGGCGGCGGCAAACGTACCACAACTATATGGCTGGGGCCAGAGGTCTCTTTACTTCTGTCTGTGTCTGGGTCTGGGTCTGTGTCTGTGTCTGTGTGCCATATCATCAATCCATCTTCCAGGGTGGCTCTGCGTAAAGAGCAAATCCATGAGTTTGATGCTTCTAGGATAAATTTTGCTTGGACCTTCGGCACCTACTCGACATCAGGCCAAACAACAGCTTTTGCACATGCGATGTGAAGGTGAAAGTGAAAACGGCCACTGCTTTGCTGCACACCTGTCTTCAACTGAGGAGAAGTTGTTTATGGACAGCTCAGTGGTCCAAATTGTGAGTCACTTTTACATGGGTCCAACTTAATAGCTGTCACATGCTGTCACGGTTGCTTTCTGTTGCTTTCCTTGATCTACCTGCCCCTCGGCTGAACCCACCTGGAACAATGAACAGCTGAACCCACCTGAGCACACACACTTTAGAACACCCGAGCTTTTCCACCTCCCAATGTACGAAGGAGACACATCCAAAAGCCTCGAGAGAGCCATCCACATCCATCCACCCGGACTTCCACTCCGAAACCCAACACAAGACCGGTCCTGAAGAAGATCTGCCCAGTCTCCAGCATCTTCCACGCAGTAAAGTGCCAGATTCTTCAGCTCCTCTAAGGATACCTCCAAGACCTGTGGCTCCTGCAAAACCCGCGGCTGATACGAATTTGTTTGGCAGTTGATGGCAGCTGTGCTTCGAGCAGTTGGGCTGGATGCACAAGAGGAACATTTTCTTTCCATCCCCTTCCCTTTGCATGCAGCCAATCACTCGGATCTGAGCTCTGCAGGATGTTCCACGGAAACCCGTGAGCTCAGTTCCGCGATGCCGCCACTCTCAGTCATTACGAGGTCGTCCCAACGAACGCGATTTCCTCCAAACGACCTATTTGTTACGGCTTCCTTCCTATTCCTCACCTCAAAGTCTTTGTTCGGGACACTCAAAAGTGACGAACCGAATATCTTCGATGTGCCCAGCGCACCTCTGGATTCGCAGGCTCTGGTAGATCCTCGGTGTCATAGGGCATGTTCACCTTGCAGCTGGCCAGCAGGAGATTTTTGATGCGATCAGGCAAGACTCCTTCACGGCTACGGAAGGCTGAACAAACTAGTCCATGAGGCAAATGTCATGGCCACTAGACTCTTTCACAAGCAAAATCGAAGTAGGGTTGCAACTAGGTCATCATTGGTACAAGTATGGCACTGAGTACATCCTACTTTTTCCTTCAGAGAGAAGAAATCAATCATGTAAAGAAAAGAATCAAACCTCTGGCCCTTGTTGTACAGCTGAAGCAACATCGACGAATACTCAAATGATTCCAAAAACGAACAATGACCACGTGTCCCTCCCAGAATCCAAAATAGCATCCACATCTTCGATATCTACTGAGTCTCTTGCCTGTCTTCCCAACTCAAAGGTCCTCCGTCCCCCAAAGGTCTCAGGCTGCGACCACCCGTGCAGTTCGTCCATCCGACTGAACGGATGGAGCGGAAGCCGCGGAAGCCACCGCGGAAGCGCGTCGGCAGGTCTCCCAAAAGTCTTGGAAGTGCATGGAGATTCGGCCTGGATTGATCAACCTGGGCGACTGTGAAGCTCCGAATCCGTGAAGCCTTTTCGCGCCGATCACGCAGGGCCTTGTGACCCGGCGAGTGGAGTGGCTCTGGTCGAAACGAGAAACGGAACCACAGTGGGGGTCTAAGATGATGACCT